TAGGGATGGCCTCCAACCTAATAGCGATGGCCGCCAACCTAATAGCGATGGCCTCCAACCTAATAGTGATGGCCGCCAACCTATTAGGGATGGCCTCCAATCTAATAGCGATGGCCTCCAACCTAATAGCGATGGCCGCCAACCTATTAGGGATGGCCTCCAACCTAATAGCGATGGCCTCCAACCTAATAGCGATGGCCTCCAACCTATTAGGGATGGCCTCCAATCTAATAGCGATGGCCTCCAACCTAATAGCGATGGCCGCCAACCTATTAGGGATGGCCTCCAACCTAATAGCGATGGCCTCCAACCTAATAGCGATGGCCGCCAACCTATTAGGGATGGCCTCCAACCTAATAGCGATGGCCGCCAACCTATTAGGGATGGCCTCCAACCTAATAGCGATGGCCGCCAACCTATAGCGATGGCCTCCAACCTAATAGTGATGGCCGCCAACCTATTAGCGATGGCCTCCAACCTAATAGCGATGGCCGCCAACCTATTAGGGATGGCCTCCAACCTAATAGCGATGGCCGCCAACCTATAGCGATGGCCTCCAACCTAATAGTGATGGCCGCCAACCTATTAGCGATGGCCTCCAACCTACTAGTGTGTTTGTTCTGTCTGTTGGGGCGAAAGGAATGGACATGTTCCGAAGCCAGATTGGAAGGGACGAAGAACAGAGCCCCTCGATCTACCTCTACCTTAACCAAGGACCTATGATTCAGACATATTGACATATTCTTGAAGACTGGGATGCATGGCGAATCGAACCTTGACTCCGCACTGGCATGACCCAAAGTCGTTTCTGACGCAAGATGGTTGTGGCCTCAACCGTTGAAAAAAGGATATTTCTCTCATGCAGTGCCTCCCCAAACCTTGAGACACATCTGTATAGGTAGATAGCCACGGTGACAGAGACCTTCATTGTTTTTATTGGCTGCTTACCCCCCAGTTCAGGAAAGTGGGTGGGCCATGAGCGCCAACCTCGAAGGGGCCACGCGTGTTGACAAATCTGAGATCTTTCATTTGATTTGAGCCTCCACACGCCATGATAGGAATGAAAACCAACCACTCTGCAGGTCTTTTCTGGATCCAACCAACCTGATCCAACCACCGGTCCACCGATCCAAAAGGCCGGTCGATCACCGGTCGCACTGGTCCGAGGAGATCGACAAGTTTGCTCAAGGTCTGGGCAAGTGGCTCAAGGCGGCAGAAAACAACGGAGTCCTGGGATCCTTGTTGGAGGAACCTGGAAGCTTTCGCAGCGGCGAAATGGATTTCGTTTCATTTTCCCAGATGATTTGTTGGTGAACATTACCGCAAAAGTCCTGCGTGCGCAGGTGGCGGGTGACGACAAGGCGGAAATCTTGAAGCACAGCATTGGAAGTCGGCCATTGACTGAGCAGCTGGGATTCAAATATGAATGAGTTCCTCAAGAGTCCAGCATAGACCCCAAAAACTTGGGTGGATCGAACTGTTTGGAAGGCTTGAGAGTCAAAGCTTGGGGGGGCATCAATCTAAATCAGGTCTAAACTTGGGAGTCTAAATTCTCGAACAGCTTAGAATGTTTTAAATGAGGTCCCCTTGAATCACGTGGGAAGCTTTTGTTCGAGCGATTCACGAAAGACTCGGCTTGTCACCCATTTTTTGTGCCCTTCGGTGGATTTTGGACACTCCCACAGCCCATGAGCTCCATCACTCCCCCCGAGGCACAAGACCATGGTCGAGTTCGGCAGCTTTGTGGGCTACACTGCCACCCGCATGGGACGGGCTGTGGAACTCTGCTACGAGAAGGGGCACCACGGCACGCTTCGTTTATTTTTTTCACATTGTACGACACTGTTTCGCTCCAGTTGAGCCGAAGAGAGGGTGGATCATTTCTTTTGTTTCATACAGTTTAAGGAGAGGGAAGGGAACGACCTATGGCCTATGGCATATGGCTTTGCTCCTGGACTCTGTTAAACACCTTCAGTCTTGGCACCTTTGGAGTGCCGTGTGGGCACCCGCTTCGCCCGAGGTATGCCGATGGATCCATCCTCTTCGAAGACTCGCGGCTCCAGGGCGCCAATCGCATCACCTCCATGGAGATCGACCCCGTGCGCCACGACGGATGGGCCGGGCGCCAGGGCGAGGTGCCGAGGCGCCAGGTGTCCCTTGTAGACTTGTAGCTTGTAGCTGGCGTTTTGGGCTTGGAAAGGAGGGAGGCTTCTGCTTCCCATGGATCCTAGGATTCAGCACCTGCAAAACAGAAAAGGGAGCTGGGAGGTCTCACAGTGGCTCCCCTTGGCACACTCACATGACGTGTCCTCTTGGCTGGTCTTGGAATTGAGGTCAACAGATCCCCTCCTGTTCAGCAAACTAATAAGATCCTTCATGCAGAGCGCCCGTGGCAAACCAAGACATGACTTACCGGGGCGTCGAACCGACCAGTGGCAAGGATTCGGCCATAGCAGCTGTCCCAAGTAAGTCATTCAAAAGTCTCCTGTCAAGCCACAGATCCCGGATACCATCTTACTGTAGGTTCAATAAAAGACTCAAAATCTGTTGACCTCCAGAATCGCTTGACAGTTGACCAGAGAAGGCAGCGAACTGCCTTTGCTTTTGGGCCCCAACCGACGGTTTTCCGACGTCGTGACCCGACCGAAACCGCCTGAAACCAGTCCGAACGACGCGGGTCCGAACGACGCGGCGGGTCGGACCGAAGAAATCTCTTCCAACGGCTCCGGCGCCGATCGATTTTCTCCACGAGCCTTGGAGGCTTCGAGTGGCGAAGTGGGGGAAGTGGGGGAAGGCCGGCCCCGAAAAAAGCCGAAGCTTGTGAACGAAGAGCATCAGTGATGGCCGAGCCAGCGTGCACTGTTGAAGAAAGCCAGGTACATGCGTGCATTGCCAGACACGTGCTGGATATGAGTCGCCTTTCGCACATTGTCGAGGTGCCGGACGCTGCGAGTTCCAGCAGTGGATCAGAGGTTCCTCCTTCGGATGTGGGACAGTTACGTTGGTCATTCTGAGTCATTTAGTCAGTAGGGAGTAGGGATGAAGATTTTTGCAGGTTTTTGGGGTGAGGAGGGAATCAATCGAAAGGAGTACAACCAAATCGCAGGTGAACAAAAGCTTTTTGGTTGGTTCCCTCAAACCTGCTTCCTGTCGGGGGCCAAAGACCCCCGAACCGGGCAGGGTCCACCGAATGGTTTGTGACAGCTCAAGTTCTCGCTCTAAAAGCCAGGACGAACAGAGGGATTTTTAGAGCCCAAGCCACCACGCCTCTCAGCTTGGAGTCACACGGGGTTTGTAGTGCCAGTGTTTGGGGGGTGTACACAGACTGGAGAGTTCATCGTACACATCTCGCTGAGATGAGAGTTCATCATCCGCTCGGAAAACATCAGTACTGTTCATTGAACATCTCATCCTGCACCACCTGGTGGGACACCACTTCCAGACTATGGATCTCTGTTGATTCCTGCGGAACTAGTGTCGAATCTTCGCTTTGTGGTCTGGAATAAAAGAGGTTCTGGGATTCGCTTCATTGTGGTTTGACATGAATTCCTCAGCCAAACTCTGGAAAGAGAAAAGGCTCGTTATCTGGGAAAAGCTGAGGAGTGACAGGTGTGTCCTCTGAAGAAAAAACACACACTCCTGGAGTCTGTGTATCTCAAACGTCCCAGACCTCTCCGCCCTCCTCCAACGGATGCACACGGGATGCGACCCGTCGGCGTTTCTTCGAACCGTTCAATGCCAGGTGTGGATCGGTCAGGTGAAGGATCTCATCCCTCGGCTCATTGAGGAGCAACGCAACGTGCGGAGGGTGGTGAGACCGGAGGATTTCACCGATTTCACCGACCGGGCTGGTGGGACTGGAGGTGACTGGATCTCCAGTAGTCTCCTCGATTTGTGGGAGAAAGACATAATAGGAGAGGCAGATTGAGGGCAGATACAGTGAGTGGGAGCCCTTAGAAAGGCTTTTTGGGCACTCGGATTGTTCTTGGGATTTACTGAGATGTTGAGGGAGATCGAGGACTTCTTTTTGGTACCAGATAGCGATAGCTATGGGATTCTGCCTAGCCATCTGGGGGTGCTGCGAGCTGGCTGAGCATGCTCTCGAGACAAGGTGTCACATTTCAACAGCCACATGTCAACAGCTAGAGAACTTGACAATGTTGGGTCGTTGGATTCTGCCTGGCCATCTCGGGTTAGGCTGGTGTATTTTTCAAACAAAAGCATGAGCTTCTGAGCTACGACAGAATTTGTGATGTCCCAGGCCTTCAAGGTGGGCTGATGAGCAGTTTAGTCCCTTGCAGCCCAACAAACTGGGCAGGCAAAACAGAAACACTTAGATGACGAGGGCCACGGGGATTTGATGCAATTCTTTCCCCGTCAGATCTTTCCTTCTTTCTTTCTTTCTTTCTTGGTTTCTTTCTTTCTTTCTTTCTTTCTTTCGCAGCCGACTCTTCGAACATGACGAACTGGCAAGTCAAATGAATTCAGATGCCACCCACCTGCCTTGTACACGAAGAAGAACACCATCGAGCTGTACAAAAAAACAGAAAACGGCTTGTACCATGACCATCCTGCGGAAAAAACACACACCGTCGCTGCTCAACCGCAAAGTTTGGATCAGAATCTCCAACTAGCACGACCGCTCTCGGGGGCCAAGATGGGCTCCGCGGCCAACGCTGGGCCTCCCGGCCAGCGGGTCGGCATGCCACGCCGGGCCCTGCGTGCGGTGTCGAACGCCTCGGGGCCAGGCGTTGCGGAGGGCGCTGCTTGGTGCGCGGACATTTTTGGAGCAGTTCCTTCAACACATCCTGACGGTGACAGGGGACAGGTCAGGGGCTTGGTGAAGAGCACAAGTGCGTGGTCCGGATGCTGAGGAACAAAAAACGCAAGTGGTGAGACAGAGTCCGAAAGACCATTGAGAAGACTGAAGACTGGTGGGAAGAACAGCTGTGAGGTTCGAAGAGTTTTCGCCGAAACCGGTGCCGCACCTTTCACACTGGGAGGTGGGAAGGGGCTCCTCAAGCAGTAGCAGTTTCTGTGGCAAGTCGTGGGTGTTTCGACTGCACGGGTCGTGGGTGCCATGTGGGAAGGTGGGAAGTCCTCCGAAAGGAACTCATTCAAAACGGACTTGCTGGACTAGACTATGCACGAACAATCAGGGTTAGGTGGATGCAATGGTCCCTTTCGTTCGGATGAGCATGAACTCCGAGTCGACCAGTGCCAGGTGGTCTTACTCCGCCTCCCGTCGACCGATCCGCGCTCACGCGCAGGCCTGCCCGCCAGAACACCGTCTTCCGTTTCGAGCTCAGCGGGTGGCGGCCTACGATGCAGACGCCTGGAAGGAACGCTTGGGCACTTGCATATTTGGGCGCCTAGGCAGTGAAACGAAGGGGTAGCTCCGTTGTCCCCGTGACAACAAATCTGGATGGACATGGATGGACTGGCAATGAAAGCGACACGTAATCAGGTCAGATTTTGATAGGGCATTATTCAAAGTCCGTGGTTGCCTCGGCCTCGGCACCAAAGCAAAAACGACGCATAAAGACAACGCAAAGTGCGGGGGAGAAGGCTGCACTTTTGCTTTCTGGTGCCACAGTACTTTGTCGAAGGTGCGTCGGTTTCAGGCGTGGCAGGCTTCCGGATGCCGGTACAAAATGCACAGTTCATTTTTTGGTTGATGTTGAATACTGTAACATTTGGAATGAGTTTGAGGCAAACTATCAGACTAAGCTTCTCATTCCTCACGGTTGACGGTGGTCTGAGCCGCCATGTGGCCCGGTTCACCTCCGCCCCTGCTGTGGTCCTCCTTGGTTCCTCCATGTTCCTTGCGAGATTTTGATCCAAGATAAACAGGTGGAATTGTCTGGAGGTGTCTGGTCACAGAAGAATCTGGCAGGATGCCCTGCTCTTCGTCGGTAGGATGGGTTTGGGCAGGATGCCCAGCAGTGCAGGGCCTGAGGAGTGGCTTCCCGGCATGAAGAGTCCAAATCTGTACACTTCCTGAAGTAAGCATGGACGTGGCGTTCACCACCTGTTTGGTATTGGGAAAAACGATGAAAAAACGGCCATCCAAGGGGCCCCTCGGATCCACTTCCATGAATTTCAAGGAGTGTGTTCCTGTCTTCATCCTTTGATTGGAAGCCGAGGATGCAAACTCAGTCAGCGCATGACACTTTGGAAGGATGTGAAGAGCTCCATGTGGAACTCGAATGCCCTTACCTGAGGCCTGTTTGAAGTGGTGACTACTTGTCACTCAAGCCGAAGGAAGGCATCAAACAGAGTGTTTTTTTTGCCGGACCCTTCCACGCAATAGGTCGAAACCTCCATGGCGAGGTTTCAATCCAAAATCGTCAAACCAGTTTCTTGGACACCCATATACCCAATGGCTCAGCCAATGCAATAGCTCTTGCAAGACCGTTGGAAGTGGTTAGATGGAGTAAATTAATGAAATTGCAGCCGGCTGGACCGTGATCTGGAGCCAGATTTGGTGAGCTTCCCAGGTCTTCAGGTCAGGTGTCTGCAATGGTTTTCCTGCTTGGAGACCAGCGACCTAGCACCAGTTCAATTTCTAAAGCCCTGCCCCTCATCTCTCCTTTCACTTTCACTTTCACAAGCTGTGTGAAGAAAATGTCTGGAGAGGTGGAGAGTCCGGATACGTCGACGTAGCCCAGTCGACTCATGCCGTTGCTGGTGTGGCCCTGGGTTGAAGCGGACGGTTCTGCCGCCGTGCGGTTGCGGAGAACCCCACGAACGGTTCTGTCATCCTTGTCGTTGAAGACCGATGGCCTTGGGTGCCAAGAGATCGGTCTGTCCCAGTCAACCGGCAGACGGTCAATGGTCTGATCACAAAGGCTCGAGGGTTCGAACGGCTCGATGGTTCGACGAGTTCGAAAACACTCCCGTTTGAAGAGGCAATGATGGGATAGACCCAAAGCTATTAGTAACAAGTGCCACGCTACTAGGAACAAGTGCCTTACTAGTAGTAGCAAGAAGCTATTAGTAACAAGTGCCACAAGACATACTTCTTCAGATGTTGAAGACTCTGAGGCGATGGTAGGGGCCGGGAGGGTCCATAGGGCCCATGGCTGCTAGGGGCCTCCTGTGAATTGATTGACTTGGAACTGCCATTTGGCGATGCTTCTCTTTGCAGGAAAGTTATTCTACCCAAGACAGAGATTTTACCCAAGCCCTTGTAAACACTCTAGGCTCCAAAATTAAACTAGCAAGCAAACATTCAGAACACTGTTGGCTAGTGACGCGCTTCAATCCAGGACCAGGGGCATCAAAAGTGCCGGGTCGTCTGCTGCGGGATGAGATGCTCCGCGACCATTTTTTACATTCCTGGGGTGTGGGGTTTGGGAGAGATTTGCCTATCTTGCTGGAAATCAATGATGGCCAGGATTCCTGGAGAGAAATTCACGTAGCCCAACAAGCAGTTACGATCAACAGCCTGCTTTGGAGGTCTAGACTTCCGCCAGTCGTTCCCTCCACTCAATCCTACCACGCTATGCTGGTTGGTGAGATGGTAGAGCCTAATGACTTCGTACCTTTTAGTCCAGGACAGTGGGTAACGATCGCAGTTGGTCCCTTAGGCCATTTTGAGGGGGATGGGACCACAGACTCGGTAGTTGATCCCTGGCTTCCATCTTTGACTGGTCTTGCTACTAGCCAGACAACATCAAGCAGAACTGCTAGGCATACTGGTGATTCCATCCCAGGACAAGAAGACCATGAGGGGAAGGAACATACTCTGATGCAAGCGTTTTCCTTTGGGTCCCCTTCTAGTTGGCATGTACATACCTGGATGCTGAGATGGGATCAAAGAGATTTTGTACAGGAAGAATCTCGTGTTATCGCACTACATGCGCATCAGGACTTCCAAAGTCGAGTCGTGCAGGTATGGAGAGACCTCTGTGAGGTCGATTCTCCTATGATCGTGCCGATTTCCTCGCATGTTCAGCAAGCTGGAATCCACTCGCCGGCATTCCTAGTGCTCGATTATAGTAGTCCGATGTACCGACCAGTCTTTATTGACCTAGAAGCATTGGACTATGAAGTTCAGGGTGGTTTCTTGCTGCGGGATCCACAGGCCTTGACGACCAATGAGGTTTTTGACCAGGTGATGCCGTTCCACCGCTGTCGAACAGTGGCGGATTGTTTCGTCTGGCGGGCAGGACATTGGCACGAATGGGATGAATCCCTTTTTTGTACAAGAAGGGGACTATCTCCAACTTCTTGAATATACGGAGAGTGACGATGAACGTTCAACTCTGTGTGATTCGGAAGGGGCCAACAGTTCCCACTTCACAGATGATGAAATGGTGTGTACTGGGAGTCGAAATGCATGGATGCCATGGATGATCTGATACATTGTCACGATGGAGACCATGTCGTTGACTTCACACCAGACAAGCCGAGGAGGCCTATACCGACACCGGCCAGGTCCAGAACAGTGCCGAGGGTGATCAGCATTAATGAAGCATTGGTTGGAGGCAATAGCCATGAACTGGAGATTCCACTTGGGCTATCGGACCAAGAGCTTGAGTTTTTGCTGGATTTTGACCCTGTGGATGAACAATTGGAGACTGTTTTTGACTTGTCCGATTTAGATCCACAAATCCAACAAATGTTTCAGCAGGCACCAAAATGTGAGCCAGATGCTTGGAACCCAATGAATTTTGAGTCTGTTCGCATTTACACGGATGGTTCATTTTCTGAGGGATCTGCAACGTGGAGTTTCGTATTGGTAGCCTGTGATAGTGGGACAAGCTATTTTGTTGGATACTG